CTCCCCTCCCGAAAGGTGTCCACACCTGGACCTCATCCTGAGGATGATGGACCACAAGGGCATAGGCCAGTGCATCCTCTGACAGGCTGTTGAAGTTGGCCTGCTCCAGAATAGGCTCCAGGGCAGCCAACACCTGCTGCTCGTTCTCCAGGCGCTGGGCATCTGTCAATGACCATTCCTGTAGTGTGTCCCGGTCTGGATTAATGGGGTCATACAGAGCCTGGGCAGGAGGAGAAGGCCATGTCCATGGGTGAACAACCATTAGCACATCCAGCCACAGGGTCCCAGGGTACCATGCCTGTGAAGGGATCCTCCCCCAGCACCAAGATGCAGCCACCTCTGGAGCAGAGCACAGAGGCGGTTAACCACACACAGTGACAATACAGTATGCAGTGACGCTGTTATCAACACACAGGGATACTGCATTACACTTAAATAAAGAAAAGCGTGGCATGAAAGGGAAAGCAAAGGAGGAAAAATGGAGCCTCCAAGGCTGAGACATGGCCCGTGCCAGCACTGGTCAAACATCCAGCTCCTAGGAAAAGAGCCAGAGGATAAGATGTGGCAAGTGATCCGCCCTGACACTGAGCAAGCCTTACCAGGCCCCCATTCCCCTCCTGGCAGCACAGTACCCCTGCTGTGCCCCACACCCTCAGCACAGCCCCTTCTGCCAAACCCCTGCCCTCTCCCTGTAGCACGGCTCCCCTGCTGAGCCCCTACCATGCTTACCATAGCCCCCTGGCAGCGCAATGGGTTTAGTCCGTCTCACAATCCAGACTCAGCCTGGCTAATATTCCCGACCTCCCTAAGGCACCCAGTGTCCATGGGGACCCCCAGGAAAGGAGGAGATGTGGGAGGGAGGGCCACATTACCTGCAAATGCCCCATGACAGAGTGGTAGTGATGCAGCAGAGAGGAGTCCACACGAGCCACAAAGGACAGAAATGAGGCACGATCAGCATCAGTAGAGTGGAATTCCTGAGGGATGGAGACAGACAGGTGTTCAGCATGATACAACTCAGCCACGTGCCCCAACCTGGAGCTCCATACACTTCTGCCCCCTACCAGGTGCAACGGCCTTCTACTATATTGCAACCACCTCTGGTTGGGGAGAACGTTTATACAGGAACCCCCTTGCTGAGATGCAGTTGTTTCAGGGGTGGAGCACACCAAAACTCCTAAGGGACTATCCCTGTACCGACTCCTTCCCCTGTTTCCTGTCAGTCTCCGCTTCCGCTGCCCCTGCTGCATGTTCTCCAAACCCAACCTGAGGTTAGGTTAAACCATACCTTAAGCAGTGTGCTGACCAGCTGCCCTTTCGAGAAGGGGATGAAACGCTCTTGATATTGCTCTGCCCATCCCTGGGGCTCTGTGGGCTTCCTCATCCTTCGGTATTCTGCCATCTTGGTAGCCAGGGAAGCCACACCACGGCAGGGTGGCCCCAGCACACCCATGCCCAAGGCAGCCCGTGCCATGCACAGCATCCTGCAAAGGGGCAGAGGGGGAAGCGTCAGCTGCCATGCCCTATAGGAAGAAACAGGGAGCCCCACATCCATGGCTGCTCTGTGGCCACCACAAGGCCACTCCTGGAGTGACTGCCCTATTGCCAATAAGATTAATACATGTGCACATCCATGTGGCATCGAGTTTCTTACAGGGGAAAAGCCCATGTCCCAGTCCCAGCTTCTGAACCAGCCAGTGCCCCTGACCTGGGGCCAGATCCGGGCTAGCACCCCCCCAAAGGGGAAAGACCCCTGCCCCAACCCTGCACCCCAAGCCAGTCAGTTCCTCCTCCCCAGGGCCAGACTGAACCCAGTGTCACCTAGAGGGAGAGATCCCATATCCAGTCCCCTGCCCCTTGGTAGCCATTTTCCCCGCCAGCAAGAGCATGTTTCTTTGCTGCATCCATCCCCAAGCCTTGGCTCTTGGGAGACATTTAAGATTTCTCCATGGCACTATCAATCCAATCCATTACCCCAAACAGCAAGGGAGGAACCTAATGGCTGTGATGCAGCTTCCTCGGAGTTCACTGGTCATGGCTTGGCAAAGGTAAAATTGTCTTGGCCGCAGTGCATATTTCAAAGGTCCCCAGCCACAGCATGGCAGCAGTGTCTTGGCAGGAGTTCAAAGGTCACCAGCCACAGCATGGCAGCAGTGTCTTGGCAGCAAGGCAGAGGTCAAAGTGCACCAGAGCACCAGGGTGAGCAGTAGAGATGGCTTGACTGCAGTGCAAAGGTCAAGGTCACTCAGTGTTGCCCTCATCCAGACTTGCCATTATACGGGCCTCTGGACCCCAAAGTGTGGGCCTCTTCAGCATGACACGCCCATCAATAACAATCTTGTGGAACTTCTTAATAGGAAATGACGGATCTGCCTGGAATCAGGGGTTAAAACAGCCCAAACTGAAAGAAACTCCCGTGTAAAAAAATCCTAACCTTAAGCAAAGCTGTTGACATTGAGCATCTGCGCATGCGCAGTAGAACCCTCTTCCACCTCCTCCCCTTTCCCTCCCGTCCCTTTCCAGTTTGCACATGCGCATTCGCCGCGCTTTAACCCCCACACTTTCCAGCGCACGGCCGGCTCAAGCGGCGCGTGAGCAGTAGGGTTTTTTTTCACCCCGTGTGGTTTGTCCGCCCGCGCGGCTGATTTAAATGTCGCGCGCGCTGTCGCCCGCCGCCGCCGCCCTCCCCCCCACCCTGGCAAGAAGCGAGTATAACCGTCGCGTGGGCGTGGCCTTATCCTAGCCACTCAGGCGTCGAGCTTCTCACTCCCTCCCTCCTCCCTTCCCCCTCCCATCTGAGTTGTGGGGGTGTGGCGTGTTCGTGAAGGGAAAAGGCGGGAAAAGGGGGCTGAGGAGAGACTCTGAGAGGGGTTAAGGGGAGGTGAGGGGGGAGCTGGTCTATGAAGGGGGACACGGGAGGGCAGACCCAGAAGCCTTCCTGAGCTCCAATTAAACCCCCTCCAGGGGCCCTCTGGAGAGGGTGTGAGGAGGAAACACAGCTAGAGTTGTGCTGAGCCCTTTATGGTCATGAGGGATCAAAGACACATATGGTCAGAGAGGGATCGAAAGGCTCAGCTGTGGTCACAGTCCCCCTAGTGTCGGTGCTAGGAGATGAGGAAGTCATGCCAAATGCCTCTTCAGTGTCAGAGAATTGTCTTGGGATTGAACTAGTCACATCAACCCTGCTAATGATGGTGGGAGAGGTCTGAGGAAAGTGTCCCCTTTCTGCTGCCATCAGGGCTAGCCAAGCTGAGATGGTCACATGAACCTTAGCCTAAACTTTCGTGAGCCTGAGACTCTGAAGTAAACTGAGGTTCACAAAAGCTTATGCTGTTCAGACTAGACTTCAGACCAACACAGCTAACTAGCTTTCTCTGCACATGAACCTTGACATAGTTACCTGTCTGCAACCAGTCACAGAAATCAGGGATACCTAGAGGGTGAAATTCATGTCATATTAACTCTACTGCAGTAATGCCTGGATGCAAGGGCCTAGAGTCTGCATCATATCAAATCCAGGGCAGGGTTATTCAGATGTGGGTGAGGGGAAAGCCAGGATTACATTAACTCCGTCCCAATGAACTGGGGAAAGGTAGTTAGCAGTGTTAGTCTGATGACATGCAGAAGGCAAGGCAGGGTGACATCTTGGAGACTAACTGGAGAAGCATAAGCTTTCAGTGTTGCCAACTCTTGTGATTTTTGGCATTGATATAAATATAAATATATAAAAAAGAAAAAGCTAAGTTTTTCATATTCCCAAAGCATAGACTTTAAGAACAACACCAGAAATCATGAGCTCTGGCAATAATGAGCTTTTGTAGATACCTATCATGAATGGACCATCTGGCACAGGAGGTTGTCACCTTTGAAAACTTTTGCTTCTCTGAACCAGTAAGTCTCCAAGGTGCCACCCTGCTCTGCCTTAGGGGAAGTGGGGCTGGTAAGAAGATGGGGCCCTCTGGGAGGGATGGAGTTGAGCAGGCGGACAGAAGCACACCTTGTGGTAACACCAGGCAACTGAATGCACTCCTCTGAAAACCAGCCTCTCTGTTCTGAGCCCAGTTCCCTTTAAGTAGGCTTGCAGCATATCTCACATGACTGCCTTGCCAAACCTCAGCCTCTGTCCAGACCTGACTGCTTCTAATATCTTGCCTGTTTCTTTCCTTCCCTTACGCACTCTAAAGTCTGTTTTCCCCTGGGGACGTGGTAAAAGGACAACAGCAGGATGAAGCAAGGGGGCTCCTTTCTGCAGAATCTCTTGGAGAACAACGTGGTCCAGTTCCTGAAAAAACCTCATGCCATTGCTAGGATACTTGCTGGGGTGAGAGAAACCAAGAGAAATAAGCCACTTACCCCTAAGTCAGTGGGGCCAACCTTTTTGGCAGGCATGTCACAAATTAAGCCTCGTGCCCTCCCTGACTGCCACTTTGATTCCCTTCCCCTGCCTGACCTACTGCTATGCTTTCTGCCCCTGCACTAGGCTGATCTGCTTCCTGCTCCCTGTCCCATGCTCCTCACCCAATTTGCTACTTTGCTTTCTTTTCCATGCCCTATCTGCTGCTATGCTGCTTGCCCCCTTCTTGATCTACCATGTGCAACACACAGAAGCTGCCCGTGCCACTTGTGACACACATGCAACAGGTTGGCTACCCCTGCTCTAAGTATCATCTGCATTACATAGGCAGAGGCCACCTTGCTACTAGCACTAGATGGAGGAAATCTAGTGCTGATAAGAAGTGTGTGATATAAGCAAAAAATATAAACATTGACCTGACAATAAGGACCAAAAACCCCAGTAAAGGTTTAGCCACTTTGTGCTGGGCACTGTACAAGCTCAGATAGAGCCCTGGAGAGCTGACAAACTGATGTCCTCTATTCACAGGACAGGTATGAGCAAATTACATGCCCCCCACCCTTGCTTTCCCGTTCTGTAGGAAACAAGGTGCGGGAGAATATAAATACCACAGAGTAATGAACCTGTTCAGAGTTTGGTTCAAGCTCAGGGCAGAGCATCTGGTCTCTCCATATTTCATCCAAGGCAGCCCAACCCACCTGTTGCCATAATGACATTTTTTTTTCCCCCATTGATTTATCAGCTAGCAATTTATTCCCCCAGCCTCGTTAATCTTTGCTCACTCCCAGTGATGCAAGTGTCACTCCAGGTATGCAGGGCTGGAAATTATAATTAATAATCATTCATTGTTTGTACCACAAAAGGGCCTTGAGGCCCCAAAACATGCTGCAAAGCTTTTGGGAGGTGAGAACTGTTTCTCAGTCTTTAAACAGACAAGACAGGATCATTATCCCCATCTTCCAGGCTGGCACAGCTATACACACCAGCTTGCCCTAAGTCTCCCAGAGCCTAGAACTGATCTTAGATCTACTGTTTTTCAGTCTGCTGCCGTAAACTCTCATTCATGATAGCATGGCCTGGTCTTTACTGCTACAGAGTGCAGGTACCCCAAGAGTTCCTGATTTATAAAACACAGATTTTCCTGCCCAGGGAACAGTCTTTTGGCCTCATACATGGCCCCGAGTAAGCTGAAGTACATCCGAGTTGATTATTATTGTTTATCAAGTGGCTGTGGCTGATCAGATAAGGTATTTTGTAACAGCTTCCAGAGGCATGAATTCAGGTCTCACTCTGAACTCATGATGAAGGCTACTCCCAGTTGACCTAGCTATAAATCGATACCTGGCCATTTGAGCTGAGGTGTTGGGGGCAGCTGGAGATGCATCATTGGCTAGGGAAAATGACTGCCCTAACCTTGGTCCACTAAGCTCAAGCAGGCCTTTGGCCTTTTGGAAAGTGTGAACAAGAACCCCATTTTGGACAAGCACAGAACATAAAAGCAGTCTCTGCCCAACAGATTGAGTGCTCTGCACCTTATGGGTGTATCTAGACAAGCACAGTTGTGCAGTGTGTGGCAATACCACTAAGTCTGGTGTTCTCCGTGCTGCAAGGTTGTGCTGACTGAGTGTGTAATGCACCGGGGTTTTTGTCCACAGATGTTTTGGACCCCTGGATGTCCAGGGGTCCAACAAACAAACAAACAAACAAACAAAAAAAACGCCCCCCCCCCCCCCCAAAAAAAAAAAAAAAAAAAACCAGGGGGGGCAGACAGAACAACACATGCTCAGCCAGCACGTGCTGCTGAAAAGCAGAGCTGGGCCAGCCGGAGCTGTGCTCTGCTGCTGGCCAGGTTCCGCTCGGCAGAATTGCTGCGGCTGCAGCCCCTGGAAGACCTCAGGTAAAGCTGCTGGGGTCAGCTGGCCCAAGCATCCCATACCCCACCCAGGGTAATTAGCTGCATGCCAAAGCGTGTGTGGCATGGGTGTTCCCTGGAGGCAAGTAGCAGCAGCATAAGGTGCACTGCCACTATTTGTCCACAGGGAATCAAACATCCATGTACGTCTGGACGCACCCTATGAAATTAATCAGGCAAGTTACTTAAGTACCCTCCTAAGAGTTGGGGCCCCATTGTGTTGAGTGCAGTACAGAGTTGTCCCAGAGATCTTACAGCAGAGGAGCTGGCAAGGCAGCCATTTTAATCAGCTCGTGCCTCATCTGTGCATAATTGGCATTGTCTAAAACACCATTAACAATTTTCACCTCTACTATCACAGCTCTTCTCTCTGATTATCTTTGCTTCCCTGATGACTGATGGCTATGAGAACCTGACAGCTTTGTCCCAGCTGCACTGCGTGCTGAACGACAATAGGGCAGCCTGCAGCTATGCCATTGTGGCTGGGGGGCC